CCTCTATCGATGTATGCAGATGTATTCAAAAGCAGTAATCTGTCAAAGTAAAATTTGCAGATGTTCATGAAAGGTATGAAGCCTTCGGCATAGCCGAAGACAGCGCTGCTCTTACTTGTAGGAGATAAAGCTTATACAGCATAGATTTTGACGATTTTCTCAGTAGACTTTGTATTATTATTTATAAAATATCTTACGAAATTTATCGGTTTTAGCTGTTCAAATAAAGGAGTTTTATCGTAAAATCCCATATCTGAACAATCAGAAGAAGATACATATATGTTATAGTCACCCCATCCTTGTTATTTTCACTGTGAGTATTCTGTTAATATTGAGTGAAAATGGTGCGAAATTTCATGTTCCTAGCTATATAAATGGAGGAGTTATAACGAAAAATCTCATATCTGAACAATCAGTTGTATGGGGGCTGCAAGTTATAGTGACGCGATCTTTGTTATTTTCATTATAAGTCGTCTGTTCATAATGAGTGAAAACAGCGCGAAAGTTAATGGTCCTAGCTACATAAATGGAGGAGTTATAACGAAAAATCTCATATCTGAACAATCAGTTGTATGGGAGATATAGGTTATAGTGACCCGATCTTTGTAATTTTCACTGTAAGTATTCTGCTGATAATGGGCGCAAGTACTGAAAAATTTCATGTTCCTGGCTGCATAAATGGAGAAGTTATAACGAAAAATCTCATATCTGAACAATCAGTTGTATGGGAGATATAGGTTATAGTGACCCGATCTTTGTAATTTTCACTGTAAGTATTCTGCTGATAATGGGCGCAAGTACTGAAAAATTTCATGTTCCTGGCTGCATAAATGGAGAAGTTATAACGAAAAATCTCATGTCTGAACAATCAGTTGTATGGGAGCTATATGTTATAGTGGTCCGATTCTTCCGGTTCCGACAAATGATTAATACATTATAAAAATACACCCACCTACCAAATTTTATCCGGATATCTCGAGAACTGAGAGACTAGATTGCATACAAACAGACGGACAGACGGACATGGCTAAATCGACTCAGCTCGACGTTCTGATCATATAAGTATAAATTTTAATGGGTCTATCTCTTTTTATTCTGGTACTTACAAACATCGGACCAAAGTTATAATACCATTTCATGCTCATCAAAGGTATAAATATGCTGCAGAAACACAACAGCAAACAACAGCTGAGCTAAGAAGCAATGACATGCTAAACAGTATGTTTGAGATGGAATGACATGGCATAGCAATGCATGAAATTTTTGGAAATGACATTTTAATAGATACGCTGGGAAGAAGTTAAGAAAATGTTTAAATATATATTTTGTTATCTACTTCACTGATTTGAAATCTGAAAACTATACCTTTCATGAGCATGAAATGGTATTATAACTTTGGCCCGATATTTGTAAGTGCCAGAATAAGAAGAGATAGACTCATGAAAATGTGTACTTATGTGTGTCACCAGAACATAGAGCTGAACCGACTTAGGCTTATGGCAACCGCAACTGGCTGAAATGGTTTTACAGATGGCAACTGCAAGCTGGTAATAAAGGTAAGGTAAAGGTAAACTTCAAAGTCTAGGGGAGGCTCGATCGATTTGAAAATTCGTGAAAAATAATACCAAATAGTCATTTTAGACCGTGTGGGTAACTTTGTGGTTGGCTGTATTAAAAAAATAAGTACGCCATTCGCTTTAACGGCTTATTTTTCATAAGGTTGGATATATATTTTTTTTCTTGTGCAAGATGAATGTTTTTTGATATAAGGACCTAAACCTACAGTGAAGTTAATGTGAATCTGCTTGTCTATTGCTAATTATTAATATCATATTGATTTATTAAATTAAATTCAATACAATCAAAACGAATATCTCATGTACCGTTTTTGACTTGAATGTGACTTAATTATATCACGTATTCTACGTTTAAGTTAGCGGTTGTGGTACCGAAACAGCCCGCAGGTCAGGACGAAGGCGCTGGACTGATCCTTTTTTATAAGTGAGTGCTACGTGTGGGACACGATAAAACGTTTCAAAATCTCTAGAGCAAGCAGTAAGGATTTAATAAAGGAAATGAAATTGCCCTGCTAGAATGCCAGAATGCTACCAGTCTGCCCCTGCAGGGAAAGCTACCAGTTGTGAACCAGAATACTACCAGTTTGCGTTTCAGCCCAACTAGTTCACGTTGTATCCTTTTTCAATGTTATCGACTGGTAGTTAACATGGCGGTGTCATGAAAGATGTCAATTGTCCGCTCCTGCATCAGCACGCTACCAGTAGAAATACTAATAGCATCATACCAGCTGACGGGATCGACTGAATATTCATCCCCTGTGAAAAGCATAAGTATGTTTTTTGCTCGCGGCGCTGCAACAGTGGCAATGGTA